CTTCTGTGTCTGGCTTCTCTCACTGAGCATCGTGTTCTCAAGGTCCATCTGCGTTGTAGCGAGTGTCAGGGCTTCACTCCTTTCGGGGGTCAAATCATGTTCCATTGTAAGAATGGACCACATTTTGTTTAGCCATTCACACGTTGAGGGGTGTTTCGGCTGTTTCTACCTTTTGGCTACTGGGAACTGTGCTGCTGTGAACATGGCTGTGCGTTCCTGGTTCCTGGTGTTTTCTTACACAGCTCTAGAACATTCCACCATGTGGAGATTCCATAATGCGTACTACCAGTCCTTCATTGCTGGATATTTCCATTTCTTCGTCTTCTGCTGCCCAAACGGTGCTGCAGTGGCCATTCTTTGTATGTAGTTTAAAATTCTTTTAGGTGAATAATACTTTGGTGTTTCCAATTTACTTTGATTTTTTTTTCTCTTTGGCTGCGCTGCAGCACGCAGGATCTTTGTTCCCGACCAGGGATCAAACCGGCGCCCCCTGCATTGGAAGTGCAGAGTCTTAACCACTGGACTGCCAGGGAAGTCCCAATTTACTTCAGTTTGCCCTCAAGTGGGAGTTTTATTCCCGATTTTAACTTTTTTTGTGGAAGCAGATACTTTCTGAAAGTCCTTTACGGTAGCCCCAAACAGCTTGGCATGGGGTAGATCTTTTATTACATCAAAAATTTTTTTATATTTTATCAAAAATTTCACATTGGGATAGGGATATAGGATTTTGGTGTACAGTACATCTTTTCTTTTCTACTTTGCCAAAAGAAACCTTTATTTATAAAACATTAATTGACTGAAGGAAATTCTTCTCTGTATGCTATCACCACATAACACATTTGGAAAAGTGATGAAGACTCTTTAACAATCTACACGTAATTGATATATTATGGACAAGACCTAAGTCTATACTGAAAATGGGAAGCTACTGCTCATATTATTTTCTCCTTATACTTTATCTCTAGCAACACCTGGAAGCCCAGTGAAATTAGCCACAAAATATTTTTAAATTGTCCATCCTAAGCATAGTACAGTTTTTTCACATATCATAGAATTTATTTACTTTTGGTGTAGAGTTCTATGAATTTTCAATCACGCACAGATAGAGCTGGCGGTGTCGGGAACCACAACGTACCCACTACTTGGCTACAATAATTGTCAACGTGAAGTTGACCTTGTTCATCTCCACGTGACCACCCCCCCCCGCCCCCCCTGCTGGTTTTAAAGCCAACCCCACACAGCATGCTATTATTCCAGGTTGGGAACGCCCTAGCGACAGGGATTCTCTCCTGTAACTGAGTCCCAGAGCCATTGTTATCACACTTTCAAAAGCTACCATCCTCTCTTCGTGTCACCTGAGATCCAGGCAGCGTTCAAGTCCTCGACTGCCTCACAAGCACCTTGTTTGCATTGGGATCCAGCCAGCAACCACACAGTGCACGCGGGGGATGGGCCCCACCTAGACTGGGGTCCCTCTGGCTCACGCGAGGGAGCCCAGGTTCGAAGGCGGTTGGTTTGGGACTGATTCTGAAGGCTGAGCTGATAGGATTTGCTGGTGGACCAGATGTGTGGGGGAGGGCGGAGGGGGGGTGGCAGGGAAGAGGGGTAAACTGGGAGAGTGGGACTGACATAGACACTCTACTATATATAAAATAGGCAACTAATAAGGACCTACTGTGTAGCACAGGGAACTCTACTCAATACTCTGTAATGGCCTAGATGGGAAAAGAATCTAAAAAAGAGTGGAGATATGTATATCTATAACCGATTCACTTTGCTGTACAGCAGAAACTAACACAACATTGTAAATCAACTATACTCCAATAAAAATTTAAAAAATAAAATAAAACACTGTAGACAGTTGGGTTTAAGGGAATTTTACAAACAGCAACAAGCCCATGAAAACTAAGGCCAGTGTGGAGCTGCCAGATGCCCTCTCCACTCAGGTCACCTCAGAAGGGGCATCCGCCCCCTCTAAGCATGTGTCACTCTGCTCTGGGTGTAGGAGAGACAAAGCAGGTGGGGTCCCCCTCTCCAGGGCTCAGAGCCCCCTGCACCCATCCCTGGGGCCCCTGAGGAGACACACGGAGGAATCTGGGCAGCTGGCAGAGAAAGGACGTGGGCCTAGTAGTGAGGGGCAGAGGTGGAATGAGGAACGTGAAGGCTTTTTTTGGTTTTTAGCTTTTGTTTTTAAAGCAAACACCATCTTAGGGGGCAAAGGGCTGCCTAGCCTCTTGCTAAGCTTGAGTATATTTTTGGTAGTGTTCCACAGACCCCAAAGATAAGGACAGCCAAATAGTTTTACAAGAAGTCCTGCCTAGGCATCTGCAGACCACAGGGCAGGAGATGAAGCTTCGACAGGTGTGCAGATGTGAATGCACACACAGGTGCGTGCGCACAGGTACGCCCGATCCGAGTGCCGGGAGGTCACAAGAGGCCAGGAGCAGAGAGGTTCAGTGCTTTATGGGACAGCCAGGCTGCTGCATCCAACTGGTTTTTCCACACCTGCTCTGATGTCATTTGATTTCAGAGTGCCAATCATCAACTGACCATCAACCAACCGGGTAAAAGGACGGCAGGCGGACTCTCAAGCACTGCGCCACCAGGGAAGCCCGCCCGATACCTTTTGATTGGACTTGTGAGTTTACTTACATGCTTGGGGGGTGGGGTTGATTAAGGAAACATGTGTGGCCAGTGTTGAATTGTCTGGGAATTTTTAAAAATATTTATTTATTTGGCTGCGCCGGGTCTTAGCTGCTTGTGGCATGCCGGATCTTCATGGCGGCATGCGAACTCTTAGTTGGCGGCATGCATGTGGGATCTTAGCTTCCCGACCATGGATCGAACCTGGGCCCCCTGCATTGGGAGCGCGGAGTCTTAGCCACTGGACCACCAGGGAAGTCCCTGTTTGGGAAATTTTGATTAAATTCACGAGCTCATTAAGCAACATTTTTTAAGGTATTTATGTAACTGTCTGCTAGGGCTGCCATAACAAAACGCTGCAGAGTGGGTGCCTGAATAGAAACTTATTTTCGCTCAGTTGCAGGGGCTGGAAGTTCAAGATCAAGGTGTCAGCAGGACTGGTTTCTGGTGAGGGCTCTCTTCCAGACGGCCGCCTCCTTGCTGTGTCCTCATGTGGTAGAGAGAAAAAAAGAGAGCTGGTTTTCTCTTCTTAGAAGGACATCAACCCTATTGGATTAGGGCTCCACCCTTGTATTTAACCTTGACTACCTCCCTCAAGGCTCCATCTCCGAATACAATCACATTAGGGGGGTTGGGGCCTCAACATACAAATTTTGGGGAACACAATTCAGTCCGTGAGAATAACTATTAATTCATGTTATGTAGATGTTTAGGAAAATGTTGTTTAATAGATTTAAGGATTAACACATTGAAAGTCAAACAAGCTTAAGGAGTGGTGCTTGCCCCTCATCATACACAAAAGGCTTCAAACAGCAGTGTCTATCAGTTCCTGAGTGTGCAAGGACCCTGGGCAGCCAGGAATTTGCAGTCCTCTACCAATGGATTCATGGCCATGTGACCTTAAGCTTGATTACTAATACAACATCCTCTAAAGGGGCTGCATCAACTTTTACCACAGTATTTGGGAGCCCCTGTTATCCCACATCCTCAAGAATATAAGGTCTTTTTCAACCTTTTTGGTCTTACTTCATCTGATAGCTGAAAATTGCATTGTATTTTCTATTGCGTTTCTCTCTGGACTGAGATGGAGCATGTTTTCCTGTTTTTAAAAGTCATTTAAAAATGTGTTTTCAGGGCTTCCCTGGTGGCGCAGTGGTTGAGAGTCCGCCTGCCGATGCAGGGGAAACGGGTTCGTGCCCCGGTCCGGGAAGATCCCACATGCTGCGGAGCGGCTGGGCCCGTGAGCCATGGCCGCTGAGCCTGTGCGTCCGGAGCCTGTGCTCCGCAATGGGAGAGGCCACAACAGTGAGAGGCCCGTGTATCGAAAAAAAAAAAAAAAAATGTGTTTTCAGAGAATTGTCTATTCAAGCCTTTGTCCCATTTCTCATTGGGTTATTGATCTTTTTCTTATTGATTCTTTGGCATTCTTTACATATTAAGGAAATCAGGCCTCTATTGATTAGATGTGTTGCCTACATTTTTTTTTTTTCAGTTTGTTGTTGATCTTTTGATTCTCTTCACGGTATTCTTTGCTATGTGAAAAATTTAGAACTTTTTATGTAAAAAGAGTTACTCTGTTTTTCCTTTATGCCCTTTGGGTTTTCATGTTGTACTATCTTTTTTAAAAAATATTGATTGATTGATTGATTGATTGATTTTTGGCTGTGTTGGATCTTCATTGCTGAGCGCAGGCTTTCTCTAGTTGTGGTTGAGTGGGGACTACTGTTCGTTGTGGTGCGTGGGCTTCTCATTGCGGTGGCTTCTCTTGTCTAGGCACACAGGCTCAGTAGTTGTAGCTCGTGGGCTCTAGAGCACAGGCTTAGTAGTTATGGCACACAGGCTTGGTTTCTCCGCAGCATGTGAGATCTTCCTGGACCAGGGCTTGAACCCATGTCCCCTGCATTGGCAGGTGGATTCTTAACCGCTGCGCCACCAGGGAAGTCCCTCATGTTGTACTATCTTTAAGGCAACCAATCAGAGCAGAACTCTCTTGTGAGAGTTGCTTTCCTTCAGGAGACCTCAAAATGTTTTCTCACCCAAAGGATCACATGTGGACTTGGCCCCTATATTCTAACTGTTTAAGCCACTCTTCTGGAAACTCAAAGACTGAACACCCTTTGGACTTTACAGCTGCTCTATGATCTGGCATACAGGACCCTCTCCTCTCCTCCTAGGCCCAGGACAGGCATGACTAATCAACCCCAGGGTTCTGGGAAGGCATGACTAAGAAGACATGGGAGCTGGCTTCAGACCTGCAGCACCTTTGCCAGGTCTGCTAAGTTCCCTGCTTTGTGCCTTGCAGCACTGTGAAGAATGGTCTCTGTGGACCTGGAAGGGCTGAAACCCCAATGACTCGAGAAGAGAAGGCTGAGGACCTTAAGGCAGACAAGAGTCAAGAACGAGGTATGCTGTGTGAGAGAGAAGGGTGCACTGAGTCAGCCATGGCTTTTTATAAAGGGGTCCGGGCCGGGAGAGCCAGGCACAGTTTCTCCCTGCCCCAGCTGCTGGCCTTGGCGGAGATGCCTGAATCTGGGAGGCCAAGTCTCTATATGTGATGGGGAGCAGAGGCGGCACAGGCAAGTGGTTGACAGCTGGGCCCCGTGGTTCAGAGCAGAGCTCTGCTAGCTGGTGACAATGGGCGGGTCACTTGCTCTTTCGAAGCCTCGTGTGTATTGTTGGTACTGGGGGCGGGGCGGGGGGGCATTGATAATAGCACCTCCTTATTAGGATGGTGAGCCTGTGTGGGTAAAGCACATAAATATATAATATATATAATATTATATTTTACATATCACATATATATTATATATAGTGCAGATGTAACTGTGTGTGTGTATATATGTGGCAGATGTAATATGTAATTGTTTATATAGTACAGATGTAATAATATTTAGACTGAGAATATAATTATATAGTACAGATGTAATTATATATATATATAGTGTAGATGTAATTATACATACGGTACAGATATAATTATATACGGTGCAGATGTAATAATAATGTAATGCAGATATGTGTATATATATATATATATCATTTGTAAATAACGTGGAATTCTAGTTAATGATTCAAATACTAAAGGCTGATTCACACCAAATGATTAAAATGTTTTTAAAAAGAGTGAAATAATGCCATTTGCAGCTACATGGATGGACCTAGAGATTATAATACTAAGAGAAGTCAGAAAGAGAAAGACAAATACCATATGATATCACTTGTATGTAGAATTTCAAATATGGCACAAATGAACCTATCTACAAAACAGAAACAGACTCACAGACATAGAGAACAGGCTTGTGGTTGCCAAGGGGAAGGGGGGTAGGGGAGGGAAGGATTGGGAGTTTGGGATTAGCAGATGCAAACTATTATATATAGAACGGATAAACAACAAGGTCCTACTGTGTAGCACAGGGAACTGTATTCAATATCCTGTGAGAAACCACAATGGAAAAGAATATGAAAAAGAATATATATATGCATAACTGAGTCACTTTGCTGTACAGCAGAAATTAACACGTTGTAATAAATCAACTATACCTCAATAAAATTTTTTTAAATGATTCAAATGTTGAAGGGTGAAATGGATGGACAGCTGCAGTTTACTTTGAAATGTATCAAAAAGTAAGATGGAGGAATGGATGGATAAACAGAGGGATGGCTGGATGGAGATGTGATAAAGCAAATACAGCAAAATGCTAGAAGTTGTAGAATTTGGTGGTGGGTAGAGGTCATTAGCTATACAATCCAATTTTTTGTATGCTTGAAAATTTTCATAATAAACTGTTGAGAGGGTAAGGAAGAAATAAATGAAAGAGGAAGCTTGAGTAGACCAGCACTGACCATGTGACTTCACTCAAGGTGTGGGATTAATTCAGGTTCAAAAAGACAGCCCCCCCCCCCGCCCCAACTCCTGAGTTATTAAATGAATAAAAAAAGTCTGCCACCCAACCCTGGTGACTATTTGCAGTTACTCCTGGGCCGTGGACCATTCACCGAGATGGAGAAGTCCTTATGAGGCTTTCAAAACACGGGCCAGGCCATGAGACCCCCATGACCATCCCTGAATTTTTTCGGGAGTCAGTCAACCGATTTGGGACTTATCCAGCCCTCGCATCAAAGAAGAATGGAAAGTGGGAAGTTCTGAATTACAACCAGTACTATGAGGCTTGTCGGAAAGCTGCAAGAGCCTTACTCAAGGTAAATGAGTCATTCATTCATTCCTTCATTCATTCATCATGTATTAAATCATTCCTTTTATGTATACATACATATGGGACAAAATGCACAAGGCACCCCAAGATACAAGGTTAACTGGTGAAAAATTTCCTTCCAATCTTTGTCCCCTCTCTTATGGAGGTAGCCATCATTTTCAGTTTTTTCTATGCTCTTCTGCGGAATAAATTATGTGTACATGTTATATAATTCTATAGAAGTACATTTTTACACACATGGTAGCATATTATACTCAAGAGTCTACAACCTGCTTTTTTTTCTGTTAGCACAGTATATGTGTGTTTTAGTTAGCTACTGCTGCATAACAAATTACCCCAAAACTTAGTGACTCAAAAGGACAGAGCGGGCTTCCCTGGTGGCGCAGTGGTTGAGAGTCTGCCTGCCAATTCAGGGGACACGGGCTCGTGCCCCAGTCTGGGAAGATCCCACATGCCGCGGAGCGGCTGGGCCCGTGAGCCATGGCCGCTGAGCCTGCGTGTCTGGAGCCTGTGCTCCGCAACGGGAGAGGCCACAACAGTGAGAGGCCTGTGTACGGCAAAAAAAAAAAAAAAACATGACAGAGCTTTATTATCTCTTGGTTTCTGTGGGTCAGGAATCCAGGAGTGATTTAGTTGGACGTTTCTGGTTCAGGATCTCTCATGAGGCTGTAGTCAAGCTGTCAGCCTGGGCTGCATCATCTGTACATGGCTTCTGTACATGGCTGGCTCTTGGCAGGAGGCCTCAGTTCCTTGCTCCATGGCCTTCTCTGTAGGGTTGCTTGAGTGTCCTCACAATATGGCAGCCAGCTTCCCCCAAAATGAGTGATCCAAAAGAGAGAATGAACCAGATGGGAACCGTGATATCTTTTATAACCTAATCTCAGCAATGACGTACTATCACTTCTTTCACAAGGTTAAGCAGACCTTGATACAACATGGTAAGGGATTGTAGTAGAACACAAATACCAGGAGATGAAACTCATCTTGGACGCTGGTTGCTGCATTCTGAGATCCTTCCATATTGATTGATTGATTTTTTAAAAATCCATATTCTTTTCAACAACTGCAAATACGTATGTAACAGTATTGACTTAATCAGCTCCCTACGGGTGGGCATTTAAGTTGCTTCCAGCCTTTGCTACGATACGTGGTGCCATATTGAACCTTCTTTGTACAATGAGTTCCTACAAAGACAATGCCCTTTAAGTCCACTCACAATGTATGAGAGAATCTGTTTACCTATGTTATTATCATCATCATATTATCAAAACTGTTCATCTGGGCCAATTTGATAGGCAAGTTAGGCAGAATTCTAAGGTGACTCCACCGAGATTCCCAACCTCTGGTGTACTTGTGCTGTATAATAAGCCCTGTGACTGCGGGCTATGATGGGATTTCCCTCCTGAGATGGCAAAGCTGGAGGGATTTCACAGATGTCATTAAGGTCTCTAATCTGTTGACTTTGAATTCATGAGAAAGGGCAGGTGCTCTGGGTGGGCCTGACTTAATTGGGTGAACCATTAAGAGAGATTCTCCTCTTGTCCTGGAAGCAAACTGCCATGTTTGCAGAGGGCCATGTAGCAGGGGATGGCATACAGACTCTAGGAGTTGAGAGCAGTCCTCAGCTGGCAGGTAGCAAGAGAAGAGCATCTCAATCATTCAACCACAAGGAAATGAATTCTGCAAACAATCTCCAAATCCCCAAGCTTCGGAGGAGGTCATGGTCCCCGCTGATACCTTGATTGCAGCTTTGGGAGATCCTAGGCAGAGAACCCAGCCGTGCTGCCCCCCAGACTCCTGACCTGTGGGAACTGGGATAATAAATGTGTGCTCTTTTAAGCTGCTACATTTGTGGTGATGGGTTATGCAGCCACAGATAATGAATGTAACAGACATCTCGTAATGTAAAAGGGCATCTCCTGATGGCTCTGATTTACAGGAAATCCGATCACATTTCGACCTAGACCCAAGTTCCTCTCTCCCCTCCTCTGATGCCCATGTGTCTTCATCTAGAGACTGTGAGAGGTCGGAATTAGGAACCACCTGCTTGGGCTGGTTTTCTTCTTGGCTGCCCTTAACCCCATGTCATAGTGCTGTGCCAAGTTCACCCTTCCTGAAAGATGGTCCTCTTTCCCTCTGCCCTTAGTTCT